GTAAAGGTCACAGGTTACAGAAAGCCATGGTATTTCCAAAAAAACAAAATGTTGGGTGTGTACATACTTTTGAAACACACTGTATAACTCCAGATGAAAGAAGAGTACCGAGGGTTTGGTTTCAGATTGAAAGAAGAGTCGTCAAAAAGAATGTACTAAAATTTTGAGTTGCAGAAGACTGCCGTCTAGGCACGTGCCAAACCGCTGCACCACTGTGTACACATTATATTCTCGATGTTGTGCTCGAATGTCTTCGCGCAGGAAAACTCAAATCGCAAAATCCTTCTACGACATAAATGTGATCAGTTTGAAATAGGGGGATGGTGTGCGTGAGCGTGACTATTAGTTTTGTCGAGACTAGGATCAGACCTTCATCATCTACTAAGGTGGATACGATCAAAGCTATCTTTCGCTATACACAACAAGCTTGCGTCTATATTCTGCTGTTCTGTCACGTAACTCGGTATAAACTGAGGAAAGTAAGTGAGGAAGCAACTAGAGAAGGTCAAGTTTAGGAAGGGTACGGCAATGAATAAGATCAATGGAGTACATTTGAGTACAGTGGAATCTGCCACGAACGAGGAGTGAGAAAGGAACTGAAGTGGGAGGAACCAAGGGCAAAACTTTCTCATTTAGTCTCAGAACACCGCACACAGTGGAAAATAGATCAGGCATGAGAACCGAAATAATAAATAAAATCACGGAAAAACTTCGGTTGGGTGAACCGTCCTTGCAAGGGCGGATTTTTCTACAAAACTATAACAGATTCCCACCATTGCCTTAGGGTGAGGTGAGGAGAAATTTCTAAAAATAAGCTATGTTCACAGTGCTTTGGGAGTGCCCAAACTGAGCTATGTTCACAGTGCTTTGGGAGCGCCCAAACTAAGCGAGAGCGGAAGGCGGCCTTTGCTATGGGCGAGGCGCGCCTTTCAAAGAAAGGCGTTTTTGCAATAGTTCATAACTCTGTTTAAAAACTTTTCAGAACCCGGGGAAAGTGCAAGGCGGTTCGATAGAAGAAGTAAAAGAAGATTCTCGGTGACGTTGTCAAAAGCAGAATCGAAGCAGAATGTTCTGAAATCTAAAAAAATCAAAGGCTATCGAAAAGAGCGATCAAAGCTTCATAGTGGGTAAAAGCGTCGTTTTGATTTTGTTATTTCTTGATTATTATTTGATAGCGGTAGCGTGCGCCTTAGCAAATAAGTGTGTATACACATATCTAGGAGGATACAAACACTAACTAGTTCAGTTCTATCTAAGGACGGGTATGTGTTAGCAGTGGCCATTCTAGATGGGATGTATACCGCCGTAGCTGGTTTCGAACGCTGATCTCAAGTCTGTGTTCCAAATCTGCTGAGCGATTCTGGGAACAAAGTTATGAAACCGATTCGTCCCCTGTTATGCCACAGTACCAAACATATGTATAATCGAATCAAGCAAAGTAGTAGCTGTGCAAAGGTGGCGCAGATGGTAGGATGGTGGGATCTGTAGGTGCGACATGAAGGTTCGAATCCTTGATGCAGACGCTCACCTCGCTTTCCCATGGAATACGTAATAAACGCTTGCGTTTGACTACGGGGAAAACGTTTTTGACTATCTACGGGGCTCCCTCACATTTTAGGGAAACTGAAAATGTATAACAAGGAAGTCTTTCTTGCCCTTGTCCGGCCTAGTAAAGGTGGAGCTCCATTCGATTAAAAGAGGACTTCCAAACTTTTGTCCAAAATGGCCCTGGAGGCTCCGTGGAGAAAGGTGTAAAAATCTATCGGATAAAAATGCTCTTCTTCAACATGCCATCAGCGAAATTTTCTTACGAAGGTGGTATCGTCGTACTTGTTGGAGGAATTTGGTTTTTGCAGAGTAACATATGCCGAAGAAAAGAACGGAATGTAATGTAAAGAATGTAAAGAGGCTATGTAAACAACGTTAGATATTCGTTAGATACTGCGAGGAAGACAGGTCCGTGAAAGGCGATCACAACGATCCTCTGTGGTGGCCGGATGGTAACAGCGACGATGGTCTCGTCACATGTGAGAGTAAAATCTTACGTTCGTGGGGATTTGGAGGTCTCAAAGTGAAACAAAGCGCTCGAAGAAGTGAAATGAACTCCGTGATATGGCCCATAAGCTTCAAGTCCATAGCCTTTTACAATTAGAGTGTCAGAGGGAGCCGAATTCTCCCGTGCATAAAAACTTTGTTCCATCACTACCGCGACCAGCTGCGGAAGTTGAGAGGAAGTAAGAGAGGGTAGCCTTCAAATTCGTCCGGGGTAGAAAGGCGTACCCATTTGGTCAGTGATGATGACGAAACCGCATAATATAAGGGAGCTCCGCAGATAGCCAGCACTGTGTCAGAAACGTTTTACTAGCATTTAGGACACATTTCATGGAAAAACAAAGTTAGCGCATACATCAGGACTCGATATCCATGTCATGCCTACAAGCCACCATCATACTACCTGCATCACCTTTGCACAGTTCCTGCTTTGCTCGCTTTGGTTATCCATTCGGTAAAGTGCTGTAACACAGAAGGAATCGGTTCCGATACTTTGTACCCGGAATCTTTTAGCAGCTTTGGAACGCAGTTTTGTGACCATCGTTGAAAATCTTTCCCTTGTAAGCGAAAAATTATTCAACCCCAATAAGTATCACAAGGCTAGTGATCACGAACAATACGTGTGTCACAAAGTCGTAAAGTATGTGCCGACGCTAACTGCCTTATAGCTTTCCAAAAGAAGTTGGAAGGATGAGATTATCAAAATTGGCGACCACAGAAAGTAGGGTTGGAGGGAAGCTAGATATGGATATTTCTGTAATTGCAAGGCAATACAGCCACTGCGATACTAACTTCGTCCGTATGAGCGATCGTTTGAAAAGAGCTTTTTCGATCGTTTAATTTGTTCTCTGCGGCTTTACAGAGTATAATAGTTGTCGTTTTGATACACTTCACAGCAATACATAAAAAGCATCGCTAAATTTCCATATATGAACAGGATTTAGATAATGATGAGAGATCAACGATTTAAACATGTACTGGGAACTTAAAAGAAATAATGGATGCCACTGATTTAAAAACGGTGAAAACGAAATAGAAAACGCTACCTGGAGAGTGAGTTCATCGATGCGATCCTCAATTGCGAGCCGCACACTGTCGAATTCCTCGGACAGCGCGCTCACAATATCTATGCCGTCACATTCGCCTAATTGAGCCTTGGAAGATGCAATATCTCTCAACGACGACAAAGCCGGCTCTTCATTCTTCATCTCTTCCCTGGCTTTCAGCAGTGCTTGTGGGCCATTAGAATCGTCATTGAGAACTGCATCAGCAGAGGCCATCACCGAACGGACTTTTCCAACAAGCTTGTCAAAGTCGTCCACAGCACCGTCGCGCAGTTTTTCAGTTTCACCAACGCGAGACGGTGGCACAGAGCCATATGAAGCCTAGAAAATGAACACTGAAAATTTTACAAAATGAGAAAATTTTTATGAAATACTGACAATTCGTTTAATTCGATCAGCAAAGTTATCAAAACATTACATAAACTACCCATGAGAGCTCAACTTCAACTTAGCAAGGGACTCCAACGATATCACCTCACCAGATTAAAGACAGTTTCTGGATACGATACTCGTGAACTCTAACAAACTTCTTATTGCCACTGTTTTCTTACCCAAGTATTGGACAGCAGAACTATGAGGTTCTTCCCGACGACCAACCTATAGCTAGAGATAAAGAGATGAGGAGGCAAGAGCTTTTCCGCTAATGAGACGGACAGATGTCGAACCGAAAGCCAGAGAAACAATTTTGAACGATTTTTTCAGTTCAACCAACAGAATAAACATGGGAAGAGCTATTGGGTTGATTAAATAAGATGTGAGTTTTTCTCTGATTCAACTTGTTATAACACCATACTACGGTGAAGGTCGAATAATTTGGTGAAGCAACCGCCGTATTGAAAACCTGCCGTTGCATAAAAAAAGGTGATCGATCTTCTCCACGATGGGCATTGCTTGCGCAAAGGGCAGGGGTTCTTGAAAATAGTTAACCCGGACACGGTCTAATCAGATAGTCGGCTCATGGGCAAGATTAATGGAAGAGTAGGCCAAGATGGGCTGAAACGTAAAGGTCAGGGACAAGGTGACCCAAAATTTGATAGACATCAGACGACAAGACGGATTCTGATTTCGTGATCTTGGCCTCCTTCATAACTCTCTAGCATTATTACCGCGCTGTCACAGATTCCGCTGTTCTTGCCAGCCGTCTCTACTTCCTTCTATCTACAGCATCTTCTGCCGTTACTTTAGCTATAGCGAAGCCTTCCTTGACCACGTCCCGTCATCTCATTCTGAAGCTCCTCATAGCCGTTTACTTTAAGCATCGAACTCCACTGCCTCCTTTATTGAATGATTCTGGTGTCTCGGTACGTGCCCAAACCACCGCTGACGCTGCTTTCTCATTTTCAGCTAGACAAGGGTTGTTTACCTGAACGTCACCTTCTGAACCGCTCTACCCGCGTCCACTGCAGGCCCATCTGAGCATCCCGCTTTTACTTACGAGGCAACACTCGGTGCCATAGAGCATCGTGAGCCCTAACCCGGTCCGATAACCTTTTCTCTGAGCATCCTGGAGTACCGACGGAATCAGAGGATACCAACAGACTCACTGCACTTATTCAGGCTTTCACAGCCTGACCCGCAATGCCATCAGCGGATGGATCACTCCCAGCTATCAAGTCTTGTACTCTTTCCATGGCTTCACCGTCTACGATTGACTGTATACTCTTCTCGGAGCTGAGGAACTTGGTCTCCTTCAAAATTAGCCGGAGCCCATTCCGCCGTTTCTACAGCTTGCCTCGGAGTTCTTCACTGCTTTTCGCTATCGAAGCGATGCCATCCGCGTAGAGAGGATGGTCTTCAGGAGGTCCATCGCATCGCATAGAGCTTTCGAAGACCTGTGACGGGAAACGGTCGACCTTTACCAGAGCGAAGAAGGCTAGTCTACGCCTTTCTCGATACTTCTCCATCACTTGTCTAGCGATGAAGATGGCATCTGTTCTGAACCTTTTTGACATGGAACCGGACAGCTCCTGTATGAACAGAATCATTTCCTTCAATCTTTAGCCGACCAACCGCCAGTAGTTTCATCGTGTGAGCAGCCAATCCGATTCCCCGGCAGTTGGGACACTTCATTCCGTCTCCTTCTGCCTGAAGATCAAAAAGATAGTACTGCTCTTTAATAAATCTGGAGTTCCTCCTTTGGTGTCATTGAGTTCAAATATCGAGTGAGCCACTTTATGCGGTGCACTCCGAGCGCCTTTCATGTTTCGATGGGTGCCCCAACGGACCAGTTGCCTACCCAACTTCATCTTTCCCATTGCTCTTTGCACCTCATCCTACATAAAGAGCTTGAAGAAGCCAGTTGCCCCTCTGATTTGAGGCTGTTCTTACGGGCAAATTCTTCATTTAGAGACTGCCGAGATGTTCTTTCCACCAACGCCTGGCTTCACCAAGCTTCCTCAGAACTGACGCCTTCGCTGCTTTTATCGGACTTGCGTAATCTCGTGATCTCAGGATTTCATTCGATTTCGATTGAAATCATACTTCTAAGCAAAGTCTTGAGAGCGATAGTTGATTAAGAAATTGAATAAACATAGCCATACAACGTGAACCACAGGGCCGTTTCGCAAGACGTCGATCGAAAGATCGTTTTGCTGCTGGGTGATGGCTTAACCACCCTTAACACTCCCCATTTGAATGAAGTGAATTTGTGCGTTGATTTACAAATGAAAGGAAATGAAATGCGCGAATGCTTTTTCTGTTGACTAATTTGAAATGCCACTATTTCGAGACTTTTCAAGACCGGATTTTCTCGTTCGGCTTAGCTGTGATAGTGTATCTGATTGAGAAAAACAGAGCGCTTGCGTCGTCCTCGGCTTCTTGCCTTCAATCAGAGCACCAACACTGTAGAAGAGGCTCCCTGTGCTTGCGCGGTATACGGAGAGCGCAATTACGGAAAGCAAAACTCAACGATTACTTGAGCAATCCTTAACGGCCTCGTCTGAAGGAGACGCCGTGAATCAATGGACAACCTTCTAACCGTAACGAAAAAAAAACTGCAGTCTGCTCGACAACCAAACAAGGCAAGTTCAGGAGAGGCTGTGACTAAGTAATTTACATCCTTCGCTGATTTCTCGTAGTGAAAAAAAAATGACAAATTCAATCTGAACTAATAAGCATACCCGAAGCATAAAACATTGCTATGTAGCACAAAAGAAAGTAGAAAACAGACAAAACGAAAAAAGAATTTTTCAGAAAGTCCCATTGGAGAAAACAATTAGATAGTTTTTAACAAGGAAACGGAGCCTAAAATCCCAACGCAAACAATCTCCAAGGTCTGCACCGAAAGAGAAAAGCTCTTCGAATATGAAACGCTCAGGAATACTTTACTCGGCTCGAAAAATTCAAAGTATTTTAAATATCAATTGTAAGAAGACAATAAGATCATACGTCTCAGCTGTGTTATGATTTTTTAGCTGAAATCAACATTACTATAAGAAAAGAAAACCTCATAAGGGGACTAATGAAATTGATAACGCTCGTACCTCGGACCGTAGTTTTTCTAGGCGATCAGCAAGAGAGTACTTCACAGACAGAAGGCGCTCTTGTAATGTGGAGATTGTGTCCAAGTACTGTACATCACCAGACTTCGCTAATTCGGATGCGGTATTGCAAAGAGCATCCATAGCAGCACTTTGTCTGTTTAGAATGCTTAACGACTCCGAAAGAACGCTGGGATCGTCCCAGCTTTTCAGATCTATATCCTCAGCTATGTTCAAAGCTTGCTCAACCCCGAGCACTGCTGCCGCAAAGGTATCGCTACTCGGAACACTTTTGTCTGATAGTTCTGCAGGTATATCCGTCTCCAAATCAAGTTGCTGAGACTTTCCTGCTGTGGGAATGTCGATCTGAAAAATGGTTTTCTTAGATCATCGTCATCTGGTCCCAAAACTTGTGAATTCTCCAATTTAAATTTTTGAAAATAGCGACTGAAGTGCTGGATGGTCGAAAAAAAAAAAAAAGAAAAATGTATTCATTGTAAGAGATCTTTCTTCGATTACCTCCCTGCTGGATTCCTTCACCTCAACATATTCGTGGTACTCGTAGCAAAATAACTATGAGAATAAAGCAAACGCTACACTGCATCACAAGCAACATTTTGCGGAAGGGTCGAAATATTGATAAATTAACAAAACACTCGACAGAAGAACGTCAACCCCACTCTTCGATCTTTCATCTGATTTGCTATCATAATCAGAAGAAACAGAAATGAAGAAAAACTTAGCATTAGCTCCTCTACACTAGACTTCGTCTTTCGACAATAAGATGGAAACTGTGAAAACAAAAAAAAAACACTCACTGCTTCCTCGGGAGGTGAACCAATAACTTCTTCCTCCAACTTCTTGAGATTCGTCTGAAAAAGAAACTCTGAATATATGGATTACAAAGATTAGTTATGCAATTAATAAGGGACAATTTTTGACTAGTCACAACATAAAATCGAGTAAATCTTTAGCATTGTTCTTTCCACACCCTACATCTCTACGGTGTATTACTTTCAACAAATAACAACTGGTGTATAGTGTATGTATATATGTATGTGAATGTGTATTGTACACATGCATGTGTGCGATCACCATATACAGCGCTATTCTAAAATTGAACATGAACAGGGGAGATGAATTGATAAACGAGCATGAGTCGAGCTGCTTGGAAAACATATAGCTCAAGCTGAACTCCTCCCACGCTGATTGGGCATAAGCCAAACGAGTGCTATCAAGAATAAAGTTGCTTTTCGACGCACCAAAGAACCGTGAGGTTTGGCAGAGAGGTAAGGGCTTGGGTTGAGATGAAAAAATTAATTCACGTGAGCCCAACGAACCCATCCTATACTCAACTCGGTTTCCGAACAGTCCAGGTAGAGGAATGTGAAGGGAATGCACAGTGTTAATAAATGTATATGAGTAATCCAACTGCACCGGGTGGGGCGTCCTGCAAATGGTTGCTGCTTATCGAAGATTGCAGGGCAGCCCAGAAACAGAAAAAACTATCATGGAACAGACAAGACCTGAGGTACGCTGAGCATGCCTACAAATTTATTCTGCCTTCCATTGCTGTTGCCTCCCTCTTACTCTTAGCTTCTACAACATTCTTGAATAGAAATTTCGATTTGGGATTCAAGCCCCGCATGGTAGTGAACACTCCGCTTATTTTAGATGATTGTTTTCTGCGGACCCTAGAGAGTTGTGAACTCTTGAAAAAGAAATGTTTGAATTGAAAGCACTTAAATAGGGAGCTCCGCTTTCGTAGTAGGTGGGAAGTAGACCAATATGGGCTGGACAAGGATTAATCATCTATGTTCCTCAAAAATGCTCCGAAGCCAAAGAAGAAGTAGACAGAGGCTTGCAAAAAGGAATAGTCAATTGCTCTTACCATGTGTCCGCGTACCACGGTGGACGAGGCTCGGAAAAAATCACAACTTTGTCGGGAAAGTTCTATGAGCGCATAAGTCTAGTAGGGGAGAACAAGTCAGTAACGCAATTGGGACGCATGCCAAAGAAACACATGACAACGATTCGAAACAGTTAGCAGGTTGAGAAAAATACGCACGAATAGCAATGTAGACGAAATCAAAACCAGAAATAAATGGGAGGTTGTCGAGATTAATCATAAATCGAGGAGAGTTTGCGGGTGGAAATATAGCCGAAACCTTCCATTTTATTAACTGCTTCGTATATCTTTTACTTATGTATTCGCGTGTGCACATACCTATGTACATGGATAGGTGTATATGTATGTATATGGAAATATATGTTGGAACTATTACAGATTGAAAAACACCATTCATGGTAGGCTGGCCAAACAGCAAAGTGCGCGGAGATGGGAACGAGTACCAGCACTTCCGTTTAAAAATTCTCCAAAGGAGGGCAAGAAAGTGAGTAGATCCTAGCACAAGTAGAGTAACACGACAAGCAGGGAGGGCATGGAAACGGACAGAAAGGAACCCATAACCGACAATCCTATTCAAAAACCCTCCACATCACGCACCCCTCATTCACAAGTATGCTCCCTTAGGCGCGATCTTTCATGTATGGTACGACTTACGTTGCGGGATGTTGGACAATACACTAACTTATATCGATGATCGGTTATTAGCTCCCTCTCTTCAGACGTGTTTGAACTCTACAAAGTTTAAGAAATGTGGAGTGATCTCAAAAATGGCGGTCGATAAAGGCCCACCAATTTTGACCAGCGTCCATTACTGCTACTCGGAAGGTGCTGCTATTTTTTCGAGCCGAAAATGTAAGTCTTTTATTGTTTGACTGATTGGACATCCACAGCTTCAACTCCTTTTGACTTAAAGTTCGCTTGATCGAAATCCAAGGCAGCAAACCAGATATGATGGCTACTACTCCCTACTACTATAAGGGTCTCGAACAAGAGTAAGGGGTCTCGAACAATATCGACAAAACAATGCTACGTTATATAATACACCAGACACTCACAAGTCTCCAAAGTAAAACGAGGGATAAAATCTTTGGCGCCAATAAACTCCAAAATTGGAATTTCCTCAGTGTTTTTATCCTCCCAGACGAGTTTGGTACCAGTTACCTGACACCGGAGAGATGAAGGGCTCGGTAGGCATAAGAGAGTATCGTTCCGGGATTTGGACCCTGGGCTACGCAAGTGTGAGTGTTTGGTAAAAGTCAACTGACACCGAAGAGATGAACTGCTTGGTTTGCCTAAGCGAGCACCGATCTCGGATTCGAACTCTGGACCGCCATGTGTGATCGTGTGCCTCTTGCCACTACATCGCCTTCGCCTTTTATGGGGAACAGCGTTTAACTCAAAATTTTGTAAGGGAAAAAAAGTATGAGGGTAAAATGACTATAAAGGTAGCGATGGGCGATCGGTGCGGATCAGCTAGCTAGTCATCAAAGTGTACTGTGTGCTGTATTAATATCCTCTTACCATTTTTTGAATCAGAAAGGGAAGGAACGCCAGAATCAGCAATACAATCTGACATTGGCTATTGATATATTCAATTAAAAATTAACTAGTCACCTTCACAAGGTCGAGCTTCTGTTGAACAATAGGATCCCGAGAACGAGCTTCTATTGTAAGGAGGCGCTCTTCAACGACTTGTATAATTGTGGTCACGGTGTTAGTGACCATCATCAGCACTTTGCGTTTTTGGCGTGTTCGGTTTGAAGTTGGTCCACCACGATCCATCAAATCACTTTCAACGAACTGTCGAGGCCTGCTACTGATCATCCGCAACAGATCCATCTGTGTTTGCAGCTGATCCAAATCATAGACAAGGTTCAGATCGCTGACGTCACGACTTTTTACGCGTTCTTCAAGGCTACTCAACTCTTTGACTACTTCTTTTTCCTTCGCTGATATTGACACTTCTTCGTCGATCTCAGACTGTAGGTTACTTGCCGTCTCCTAAAGAAAATCAGATTGATATTCCATATCAAGAAAAAACAGAACCAATGAAGCAACGTTACATTGAGATGTTCCAATAAATGATGGAGCGAGTTTTCTAGCGCCACATTTTTCGCATCACTTCCAGACGGAATATCATCAAACAGCTTGTTCAGCTCTCCACGATATGTCTGTAGTTAATCAAGCTTCAAAAAAGTGTACAGACGTTGTTCAGAAGGGAATAAACAAACCAATAGGAGATTGTAATCGGCAATAGCTGTTGCAAGAGATTTTGGACCATCATTGTACGACTGAATGACATTATGAAGCTTCCTTCTGAGATCTCTAATTGCTTTTTCCAACGGAGGTTCACTCTCAGCGTATGCTGAACTGATATCCACGCTTGAGCTCACCGACTGCACCGATTCTGGGCGATCCGCAAAATCGGATGAAGCCAAAGAGCTGATTGATAGCTGAAATTCAGTGCTGTTTTACCTTCATGAAGTTTTTTTTGCCATCCTTACCTGTGACTCGGTTTGGGCACCATGAACCAGGGTGCTAACATGAATGGGGAGTGAACCCTCATCGAGGTTATAACTTCTCAATCTGTTCAGCACTTTGTAATACTTTTGACAAAGTTGAAGCACATGATCCCGATTTTGTATGTTAAGCCTTTCCAGTTTACCAACGAGCCTTTGTTGACTGAGACAAGCATGCAACAGTTGAGACAAGCGAGATATCTGCTCATCGCCCATTGGCATACCCTCCACGGAGTCCACATCCGCCTCCATTGCATTCAGCCACATCTCAAACTGCGCTAGCTTCGCCGCGAGTTTTTCTTCATGACGTTTTTGTTTAGCCGAACTTGCGATTGACCTGGATATCTTGCTATCCAAAGAGAATGCCTTCCTCTGCAAGTCAGCAAATTCAGGCCGCAGCCGTAGGCGCATTGAAGCATCAAGAGCGTTTTCCAACTCTCCAACGGATTCCTTCCATTGTTTCCACTCACCATCATTAAACTTATGCAGCTCATTGTATGCTCGATTATGGATGAGCTGTACGACGTTATCCTCATAAATTCGGAAAAGAGAATTTAGGTAGTCATGGTAGGCGTACATGTAATTCAAAATAGAACGACTTCTTTCTTCCTGACGAGTTTTGTATAGGGACGCCAGACGATCCCGCTCGTGTTTGTCATTTTCTGAGGCTGCAACTTCGTTTAATTCATCGAATAATTTGCTCTCCTCTTCCTCTAAGCGCATCAACTCCAAAGTCACGGTGAGGAAGCTTCTAGGGTTGTCGGTTGTAGGCATACTTTTGCTGATTAGCGTTTCGAACCGACGAGCAGCTTCGCCAAAGGTGTTTTCATTCTCCTAAATTGAGAATGTTGAGTATGAAAAAAACCTAACCAGGAGTTAGACTACTCACCGGTCCCATTAAGTGACATCGGAATTCTCTGACGAGCTGGGATATCGACAGGTCTGATATGATCATTTCTGCAGGATCTTGCAATCGTTTTAGACGTTTGGCTTTTTCTTCAACACTGTTGCATAGTTGCTTCGTCTGTAAGTGTTCAATGACTCAGAAATGTTTATCCGACCACAATTAATTTAAGGAAGTTTCACTGAAATTCACCCGGTCTCGTAGAAGATGCGGGGAATCGCTAGGAGTGGCCATCTGATTGATATCAATTGAGGAGTCGGCAGATGCGATAAAATCACGCACTGCATCCAGATATTCCAGCCGGATGCGCATCAAATCACGCAGTTTGTCTTTTTCGTAGGTTAACAAATTCAGCCTTAATGTAATATATTAATGCTGTCGTCCTGCCCTTGCTGTCTGAGCTCGAGCAAAGGTAAAAGTTGTCGGAGGCACGTCAAAAAAGAACATTACTTTTCGTTGACGCGGTCGAATTCGAGCTCGAAGAAACTGCCACTTATGCCGTTGAGTTCCTCTCGCAACCGAGACGCATCGTTTTGCCATTCGGAGTCGCATCGTTCTAGCAATGTCCGAAGTTCTGTCGAAACAGACGGCACCTGAAGTCACCGTCTAGGTTGTGATGGTTACCTTTCTGAACAAGTAACATAAACAAACTAAAAAGAGAGACTGTAGATGCGTTTCTTTCAAACGTTATAATCTACTCGTCGAATTCGCTTAACTTGACCATAGCAAGTTCGTATCCGCGGACCCCCAGTTATATATAGCACTAGACGTTGTTTCAATGTCATTCAGCTATACGCCTCCGTCTGAACCGATTCAGCACCCCCTCCCTCCCCCTCCCCCTCCCCTTTGATCAATGAAACTGGTAGACCCACGCCTGACTTTTACAATCCGAAGAAACACATGACCAAGAATCTTCCAGGTCTAAAATTCAATTGTTTGCACTGGGACCGAGTCATGGGCTACAAAAACTAACCTATTAATGATCTAAACCAACGCGCAACTTCATAACTCCCACTCTTCCCTGCTCGTCATCATTGATAAACAGGCAATGTTCATTGTGGAATGATATGGACCGACTAGAACTAACGTCTGATATCCCACCGCAGCCTGTCATCATCGGCCTTGTCAAAAGTTGCATAGACCCACTGCATATGTATAAGCAAACGCAGTTTTGTATCATACAAAGAAAAAGTAACGGCCACAAATACGATCATGAGTCCCTTACAATTAGGCTCTTGCAAAGGCATGACAAATATACAAATACAATGGAAGAAACAAAGAAACTTTAAATGGGAACGCGGTGCGATATTGAAGAGATGAGACAACTACATAGCCATGATTTCTGAAGCCTATAGCNAATGATATGGACCGACTAGAACTAACGTTTGATATCCCACCGCAGCCTGTCATCATCGGCCTTGTCAAAAGTTGCATAGACCCACTGCATATGCATAAGCAAACGCAGTTTTGTATTGTACAAAGAAAAAGTAACGGCCACAAACACGATCATGAGTCCCTTACAATTAGGCCCTGGCAAAGGCATGTCAAATAGACAAACACAATGGAAGAAACAAAGAAACTTCAAATGGGAACGCGGTGCGATATTGAAGAGATGAGACAACTACATAGCCATGATTTCTGAAGCCTATAGCACTGAATCAAACAACTACGATATAAACGGGATTTTCCCCTTACCAAATATTCAAACATATCAAAAATTGGGTATGGTTATGCCGACATAGCGATGCATATTCACAAATGAATTTTTCACATTTTTCCAAAATCAATGCGCTCTGTTTTTCCAAGGATCCCAAGGAAGGCAAATATATGATGGCGCATTGATTTCATTAAGCAACTGAGTCATATGGCATTATCTACCAAAACCCTGGAAGCAGTTGAACTCAGGAAAGGACGCAATCGTATGATCGGTTTCTCCGAACGGTTTATCTCTACTAATGTACTTTGGCTGCAATTTACTAATCTCCAAAAACAGTGGTGCAGGGCCATGTTCCATAAAAAGATCGCCAGAGTACACCGATGCGATTTTCGTCATCGATTAATACATGAAGTGACGGAGAATAAATTGCAACACGGCATCGCATTTGCTGCGAACGACCTTGCAACTTTCAAACTTCCTCTGTGCTATTAAACAACAAATGTTCCAGTGGTTCACTTCTACTTTCTGATACGTAGTTTACAAAGTATTTATAATTAGACCCTGATGAAGTA